AAAATGTACATAGGCTCATGGAGGTTTTGGTGAATCCAGATAAGATACACAATAGTAGAATTACTGCAGATTATTAGAATATATACTGTAAATATAACAAAAAAATAAAGATATCTGTATTTGTCCACTTCCACATGCCCATCAAGAGTTATATATGTTACATTTAATTCATTATCCATTAATGTTTTCAAAAAACAACTGTGTGACAAATAGATTGTATAAGTGGCAGATCTGAGTAAAAAACGAGGAAACATGTAACCTGTACTGCAAAGTCTATTTCATTTACAGTTGCCTGACCATAAATATTACGTGATATTTATTATGTGATGTATCCACTTCCACATAGCCAATTACAGTCACATATGTTACATTTAAATCATCATTCATTAAAGTTGCCAAAAACAGATTGTATCACTGGTAAATATGAGTAAAACCTGAGAAAAGAACTGTCACTGAGAATGGTTACCTGACCTTAAAACACTCTTACAGTGTGTTCTTCAGAATTCACCAAGAGAAAGAGCGTCTGTGGAATGTTTTTTATCAGATTGCTTCATCCTCCATGGATCTAATTAAAGTTGTCACCAAGAACCACTCACATGTAAACAAGTTCATCAAACTCTGGAGGCCTGAACTTGTAGGCTGGGGTGCTCAGGGGTTTGGAAAACTCCCAATCTTTCAGGAGACCTAAAGGCCAGGGTTAAAATTGTAATTATTTTTCACGGTTATGTTTAATTTCTGTTAATCCTGCTTTGTTGTTCCTATCAATCACATCTGACACTTACTGTGGAGTGAGTGCCTGTTAAGGCTTCAGGTCGTTGGTTTGCAACTGGTTCCAGTCACTGTGAGAAAACAGTGACAGCCGAAAGAGGTACAGACTTTAGGAGTGTCCAAAGTATGAATCTGCTAGAACACAAGTTATGGTTACTGTTGGAGATATTGAGTAGTGAGTGTTGAGTGAGTTATGAAGGGGTTTTGCCAATGATAGTTTTACAAATAAACTGATAGCAGTGGGTCACCTGGTGTAGAGTGATGACCAGTTGAACCAGTTGACTGGAGAATACAGGTTACAGTGATGAGTGTTGAATTTAATTCAGCTTAATTGAAAGGGGCACCTTTTACAAAGTGGATGGCGGTATGGTAAATGACGTCCAGTTTATTGAGAAGACTTTTGGGGGTAAATTAAGATGCTATAATCTAAGACTGGGAGAATTGTCATTTTAACCAAGGTGTGCGTTGGGGAGTGAGTACATTATGCTTTATTTTGATACAGGACACAGATTATTGCTCTGACATTGGAGAGCAGCTTGTTGACCTGTATTGGAAAGGAGAATGAACTGTTGAGCCAGATACCCAGGTATTAGTAGGAAGTGACAACTGTTAGTTCTGACCCACCCAAGGAGGCGATTTTGAGGGGGCAGGCAACTTGAGGTAAGTTCCGGTTGAAGACCATACATTCTGTGTTCTGCAATTTAAAAAAAAGTGAGAGACAAAAGTGAGAGTGAAATAAAACCATTTATCAGGTTTGATAAACACCAAAGGGCAGCAGTGTTTAACCTGCAGCTTGGAAAAGATAACTGTGCTGCACATGCTGTGTTCATATGCGCGTGTATGAAATGAAACTTGTGTTTTCCAGCAGCAGCAACCGCTGTGGGCACCAGTCCAGACAATATATGGGGGGCGTGATGGCACTTCTCACAGACAAACATCATATTAAAATAGCACAATAATTATCTTGTCTCTCAGTCATGGTTTAGTTACAACTCTGTAATGTGAGATGGAAAGCAATGAATTGACATTGACTATTGATTAAATATTGAATTTAAATGTTGATTAGTTGGGCATACTGGGCAATGTGGATGCATATATCTCAATAAATAACCATCAAGTATTCAGCCAACCCATAATATAAATAGTATTAAAGCTGCAGCCAGAACATATAGACTTTTACATTGTTAAGACAAAGCTAAATTTATAATATTGTGAGGACTGGACTAAATACCAGGCAGCAGAACAAAATCTCACTTTTTAGTTTTTATTATTTTCTACTTCTAATATTTACTTAATATTTTATAAGACATTTTCTATTGAATAAATATGATTTGTTTATACCTCATTCTGTTCTGTATGGATCTATTAATTCTTAGACAGACAGATTGAGCAAACTGAGAGGATTGTAGTGGGAGCACTGGGATGTCAGGTGTGATATGATATTAATTAAAGTTATTGTTTGTTATTTTCTTTGATCATTTTGATAGCCAGAATTAATTGATTGTTCCTACAAAGTTTGAGGACCCTTTAAACCATTTTAATTCCCACCTCAGTAATGAAGCACACTTGTCACAACTCATTATCTACAACCATTATTAATGTTACTATTATTATTGATATTATTATTGTTATTATCTGTGCTGAGAAGAAATGGAACTTAAAATTGGGCAGAAATACTGGGGAAGTTTCAGGGAAGCTGAAGTAGGCTACCTGAGAACTGGTCCTTTGAGACATATATTTCTCCCTTTCATCTGGAACCATGACTTAATTTTAAAAAAGGACAATAGACAATAAATTATAGAATTTGTGGTTAAGAAATACAGTTTAATGATGTATTTCAACCCAGGAGGGAAATGAGAAGTAAGCTCATCCTCTTTAAATCACTGAGATGGTATCCAATATCTGGGTACAATTAAAATGATGAGCACTATCACAATCATTGTTTTTCTCACCACGACAACACTATGTTTTATGTGGTTTATGTATTTTTGTAAATACAATTCAAAGGCACTTTTTCTCACAGGGTACTAAATTAGGAGCACATGTTTTTGCTTTCAAGGCATTTAATTTAAAATGCTGACATGTTCACTTAATGACAATTAAGATCTTTAAAAACACACAAAGGGAGAAATATGCGAGTGTGACAGACATTAGTGGTCAATCAAAAAGCAAAGGAAAATTCAGAGCAATAATAGAATAAAGAAATTCTGTTGTGTTGGCAAAGTCACCCTGATGGCCACAAGTACAAAGTGTTGGTCTCAGTCTATAGTGTAGCTAACCCAATCAGACATTAATCATTACATTGATGAAACAGATGATGATATTTACTGTGTGCTACTATTACACGAACCAGTCCTCTAATTAATACCTTTAAAGGATCACAGAAAGCACAACTCATGAAATATTAGGACTGTACAGTTAACATTGTTCCTACATAGGACAGTTTTGCAGAACAACCTCTTGAGGTGTTTATAGATTTCTTTCATTTTCAGTCCATATATATTATTTGTAATGTCATTATTAAACGTACAGTTTGGGGAAACTCAGTTTCCATTCGCAGCAGAAGTACATCATATGCAGTCAAACAGGAAAAATTGATTAGAACTATCAAGTGTGGTAAACAGGTCTGTGCAGCTTTTCTCCTGACTTCTATGTCTATAAAATATGACAGAGGCAAACATCCCAGTAAACAACACCTATGGGTGCAGGCCTCTAGAGTTTGATGAAGTTGTTCAGATAATAGTAGCACTTGGTGGAGATTTTAATGAGATCTATGGAGGGTGATGCAGGTGGATAAAAACATCCTCAAACAGTCACTTTCTGAATGTTTACTGGAATATTTCAACATCACACAGGTACAGGTCAGGGTCAGGTACCAGTGAATAAGAGACAATATTAATTTATCTATGTTAATGTGATCTTTAAAGCAAGACTTTATTCTGAATGTTTCTTTAGACAACCTTAATGGATGATCAAGTAAATATAACATATATAACTATTGATGGGTATGTGGAAATTCACAAATACAGATATCTTTATTTTGTGATCATGTTCACTGCATATACATTAATAATCTGCAGTAATTCTACTATTGTGTGTCTGATCTGGATTAACCAAAACCTCCATGAGCCTATGTACATTTTTATTGCAGCTCTGTTAATCAACTCTCTTCTTTACAGCACTGCTTTCTACCCAAAGCTTTTATTTGATGTTTTATCAGAAAAACAGATCATATCATATTCAGCCTGTGTGTTTCAATGGTTTTCATATTACTCTCTAGACTGTTCAGAGTTCTTACTGTTGGCAGCCATGTCTTATGATAGGTATGTATCTATATGTAAACCTCTGCAATATGCCACTATCATGAAGAAAAGAACAGTCTATATTTTGTTGGTTTTATCTTGGCTTGTGCCTGTTTGTCAGCTTGCAGTGCCAGCTGTACTGAATGCTAATAAAAAACTCTGTAACTTTAATTTCAAAGGAATAATTTGTAACAGCACAGTTAACAAACTTCATTGTGTGAGTTCAAGAGCTCTGAATATATATGGCTTGATTGTTTTTTCAAATGCTGTAGTTCTTCCTGTGCTTTTTATATTGTTTACATATACAAAGATCTTTATAATATCCCATCGAAGTTGTAGAGAAGTCAGGAGAAAAGCTGCACAGACCTGTTTACCACACTTAATAGTTTTAATAAATTTTTCCTGTTTGGCTGCATATGATGTACTTCTACTGCGACTGGAAACTGATTTTACCCAAACTGTACGTTTAATAATGACTTTACAAAAAATTTCGTATCATCCTCTCTTCAATCCGATCATATATGGACTGAAAATGAAAGAAATCTATAAACATCTCAAGAGGTTGTTCTGCAAAATAGTCTAAAGTAGGAACAATGTAACTGTAATGTCATAAAATTATGTGATTCTAGATTGCCATTTCTGTGATCTTTAAAGATATTTAATGTAGTGTTTGTGTGATGTTTCCCTAACAGTTAGTGCAGAGTAAAGAGCATCATACAGTTTCATCAATTTCATCAAAATATTAATGTCTAAACAACTGGCTGCAGTTTTTACAAAGCCCAAACCCACCCCCCTGGAAGAGGCTCATCCAATACTGCAGAGCTTCATTGTGAGGCCAACGTTTTTCTGCTTGTCCCCTTCATTAGGGTGACTTTGCCAAATGAATTCTTTTTCTTTTAATATGGCATTACATTTCTATTTCTTTGATTGACTGCAGAACAACAGAACCCTGCTACCACCAATGTCTTTCATACTGGAATCATTTTCTTCTGTGTACTGTTGAAGTTCATCGTGCTCATAAAGTGAACATGACAAATTAAATGCCTTGAAAGCAAAAGCATGTCTCAACTGTGATTTTGAGTTTTATTGAAACTAAATAGTCTCACATGATTTAAAGAGGGGGTGGCTTCACTTTATCTCCCCATGTTGTGTTTCACATTCAATTGTTATTTGTATAGGCCCAATTCATTAACACAAGTTATTCTCAGGACACTTTTCAAATTAGAGCAGTTCTAGATCAAACTCCTTTTAACATTTACAGAGACCCAAACAGTACCACCATGAGCAAGACCTTGGAACGGGGCAAGGAAAACTGCCTTTAACAGTCAGAAACCTAGGAGAGAGAGAGAGAGAGAGAAAGAGAGGAGAAGAGAGAAGAGAGAGACGAGAGGAAGAGAGGAGGAAGAGAGGACAGACAGACAGCAACCAACAGTAGCAACAACTACATTAATAGTAATGATCGATGACATCATGAAAAAGACGATGATGACGATGGACAGCAGCAATGATGGGGGACAGCGAGCAGCGAACAAACAGTAACTGTAGCAATAAAGTACTTAATAAAACTTAATAATAATTACAATAAATCAGTGATTTTAGCAAGGTAGTCAAGCAGGACCATGGCAGAGGCTCCACCAGATCCATGAGAACCTGCAAGACCGATAAAGCACAAGAACTCCGGGGAAGAAGTGAAGTTAGTAACATGCATTAATGGGACATGAATGAGTGCAGAAAGACGAGGAGAGGAAGAGGAGAGCTCAGTGCACCCATGGGAAATCCCCCAATAGTCTAGGCCTATAGCAGCATAACTAAGGGATGGTTCAGGACTCACCTGGATCCGTCCAAACTATAAGCTTATCAAAAGAGGGAACGTATTTAAGCCTACTCTTAAATGTGGAGAGGGTGTCTGCCTCCAGAACCACAACGGAAGCTGGTTCCACAGGAGAGGAGCTTGGCTAACTGAAGGCTCCTTGGCTTCCTGTTCTGCTTTTAGAGACTCATAGACAATACAGAACCACAATAGCCATATTCAAGAGAAAACGCAAAGTCGATTCTAGAGGGGGAATAGGATGTACGTATGAGTCTCGTTTAAGATAGAGAACTTAGGGCCTGACCATGGAAGAGCTTATATAGACGGAGGGAGGATTTTAAATTCTATTCTAAATTTACAGGGACGCCAAATGCAGAGAAGCTAGAACCAGGAGAGATGTGATCTCTTCTTCCTCAGTTCCTGTCAGTACTCGTGCTGCATGCGTTCTGAATACTTGGAGCGTTTTAATGGACTTATTAGGGCAACCTGATGACAAAGAGTTGCAGTAATCCAGCCTTGAGTAACAAATGCATGATTAGTTTTTCTGCATCATGTCATAGGATGTTCTAATTTTTGTGAATATTACGTAAATAAAAGAAAGCAGTCCTAAGAGATCATGCATTTATGTGGAAATTAATGACAAAGTCCTGATCAAAGATAACTCCTTAGATTCCTGATCATTTTGGAACAAAAACTCTCAAGGGACTCAGTTCTTCCCTGATGTACCAGTTGTGGTCGTAACCTTTCCAACTGTATGTTTATATACGCTCAGCACAGATAATAACAATAATATCAGTAATCATAATGAGGTTTGGTAAGTGTGCTTGATTGTATGTATAGACAGCTGAATTTCTACATTTTGGATCATCAGCGTCAGTATTACAACCTAAGATGAAAAATCAATACTGCCATACAAAGGCAAAAGACTTTGACTCACCAGTGTATAACTGCGAAAAATTACTTATGACAAAACTTTTTGTTGTCTAGCTAAATTAACTCTATGCAGAATATTAGAAATGTGGCAATTCTTTGTGTTTTTAATGAAGTTAAAAATCTTGAAGTCAAACCTGACCTTTGACCCTTTTTGTTTTTGAATTGTTTGCATAGTAATACTTTATAAAATACTAAACTATATAAAATCAGTATACGATAATAATGATACATAAAGTAGAGTGATCATATCACAATTTGGCTAGCAGTTTGGTTTTGTTTGTCAAGTAGTTAACCTAAGCTAGTTAACAAGTAATTTTAGTAGACTGCCTCTTTATCCAGAATCTTTCTTGTAGCCTAACATAATCTTTCTTACCTTGATTTTGGTGTCTAGTTCCTAAAAAAATGCTGCAACAGTATTTACTTTAAAACATTATTCAAGCTGTGTGTGTGTGTGTGTGTGTGTGTGTGTGTGTGTGTCTGTGTGTGTTAGACATGCTTCAATAATAGATATTAATGATTACCATGCTAAATCTATGATGTTATGCCTCTATGGTGTATGTATTACACAGTGCTACCAGTGTAAACACCAACACTCTCCCGGTGCTCTGAGCACCCAGACCCAGGTTTCCAGGGCTAAGCTAACTAACTAACAGCAGCTACATTTGGTAAATGGTTAATGGACCTGTACTTCTATAACCTTTCTAGTCCTCCGACCACTCAAAGCGCTTTTACCCTACAGCCACATTCACCCTTTCACAAAGTGATGGCAAAGCCCATCAAACAGAAACTAACTCATCCATGCACATTCAGACACCAATGACACAGCATCGGGAGCAGGTTGGGGTTGACCCGCTCTATCTCTGAGCCACAGCCACCCCAATGGCAGCAGTTACTTAACTATCCATTGTCCAGTTGAGGCAGAGCAGCCAGAGGACATCAGAGGGAAAATCAGAAAACATTTTTTCTATAAAATATGATCTAGTTTCAGCAAAATCATTGATATAGTTGGTGGTGTGTAACTTAGTGCTGTAGATGTTAAGCACTTGTTCCGAGCTGGAGCCAAAAGCTACATAGTGCAAGAACAAGCATACAGAGGAACCATTCACCCTGTTACAACTCAGTGTAACATCAAAACGGTAGTGAAGCTGTTATTTTAAGGTACAAAAGTTACGTAATGTCTCACGGATAGACCTTGTTGAAACCCTTTTTGGATTTTTTATTAAAAGCAGAGGTGTATGTGCAGCTTTAAATTTAACTGGTCTGGTATGACTTTAATTCCAGATGTTACATATAATTTGATTGATGTCAGTTCTGTTTTGAACCATTTCCAGTTTGCTATGCGTCCTGGATCCAGTTCTGCTGGTCCCTATCATCTTATCAACTATTATAATGAAACACTCTCCTCTTGTCTCGACCAGCTCGCTCCCATTAAAACCAAAACAGTCTCGTTCACACACTCAGCTCCCTGGTATACTCCTGAAATCTGAAATCTACACTGTAAGGTCAGAAAACTGGCAAAGTAATTCATGTGATGATTCCCTGTTTTTCTTTTCCAATTTGAAAAATAGTCTTACCACTTTTTCCCTGCATCATCAACAGCCATGCTAGCCGCTCTATGAGGCAATGCTTTGAGCTAAATGCTAACATCAGTGTCTTAACATGCTCATGATGACAATGCCAACATGCTGATGTTTAGAAGTACAATATTTATCATATTCACCATCTTAGTTTAGTGTGTCAGCATGCTAACATTTGCCCTGATGATGGCGCTAGATGAAAGGGTCACTAAAGTCACTGTCCACATAGTCCTTCCAGTACATGTTGAGACATTTCACAAAAAAACTCATGGTGGTGCTAGAGGAAAATTGAGCATGAATGTCTGAACATTGTGCCAATTCATCACAGAGATGAGACAACAGTGTGAGCTGCTGGTGGTGTCAGATAAGAAGCCAGGGGATCACCAGGCAGTTGGTCTGTTTCAACAGGCCAACTAATACTTCCAGATCTGATATGAGAGAAGTGTCCTTAAAGATCTTAAATGTGTAAATTCACAGTATGTTCTTGTTTATTAAAGTGATTTTGTTTTGTTTGTGCATAAGAGACGATAATTGGCCAGGTGAACAAGACTCATTTATGACATGTAAGACTGACTTTACATTTATGCAAAGTGGATGTCTGAAATTCTTTAATGTCATGAACAATATTGCAGTACAGGGTAAGCGCAGGAATAAGGAATATATAGTCAGCATTGACTATATCCATTTCTGAGTGAAGCTAATATAAATGACATTGCTGCTATAAGGGTTATATTTTGCCTAAGATTAATTGAAAACAAACATTTTTTTGAAAACTGTAACTCGATTATAATTCAAAGGATGGTGTTAGTTTTGAATTACTACAATGGAATGATCAGTCATTGTACTGTTGAAGCTGATGATACCTTAGTTAGGATCATAATTAAAATTCTTTTAAAATTTAAAATTGACAATCTCAATATATGTATACATACACACTTCATTATACACAGTGAATATGAATTAATTGCAACTAATAGGGTTGGATTTTAAACATTTATTTCAAACAGTTTTTAACTACATTACTTTACAAAGAATACTGAAGCTAATGATACATTTTACTAAGTAGGAGTCATAATCAAATTCCTGTTATTAAATTCCTGTCAAAAATCACTGAAATCTAATCTCAACATTATTACTACAAAAGAAATGCCAGTAAACTATGTATATTTTGTTGATGTATTTAGTTCATCTTTGTCTTGACAGAACAACCTCTTTAGGTGTTTAGAAATTTCTTTCATTTTTAGTCCATATATAATCGGATTAAAGAGAGGATGATACAAAATCACTTGTAAGGTCATTACAAAACGTACAGTTTTTGGGAAATCTGATTCCAGTTTAACTATAATGACATCATATGTAACCAAACAAGAAAAGTTAATCAGAATTAACAGGTGGGGTAAACAGGTCTGTGCAGCTTTTCTCCTGACTTCTCCACAACTTTTGAAGGTTATTATAAATATCTTTGTGTATGTAAAAAGAATGAAAAGCACAGGGAGGAGTGTAACATTTATCAAAACAATCCCACCATATACAGATAGTGCTCTTGAGGCCACACAGTGAAGTTTGTAAATTGAATTGTTGCAGTATATTCCTTTCAAAGTTAAGTTACAGAGTTTGGTATTAGCACTAAGTGCTACTGGTACTGCAATCTGAAAAGCAGGCACAAGCCAGGCATAAATTAGGCAAATATTGACAGTTGTTTTCGTCATGATAGTTGGATATTGCAGAGGTTTACATATAGACACATACCTGTCATAGGCCATTGCTGCCAACAGTAAGAACTCTGAACTATTCAAAGAATAATATAGAAAACACTGAAAGAGACAGGTTGAATAAGATATGATCTGTTTCTCAGAGAAAAAGTCAATCAGAAGCTTTGGGTAGATAGAAGTGCTGAAAAGAAGAGAGTTGACTAACAAAGCTGCAATGAAAATGTACATAGGCTCATGGAGGTTTTGGTGTGAATCCAGATAAGATACACAATAGTAGAATTACTGCAGATTATTAGAATATATACTGTAAACATAATCAAAAAATAAAGATATCTGTATTTGTCCACTTCCACATACCCATCAAGAGTTATATATGTTATATTTAATTCGTCATCCATGAATATTATCACAAATGAAACAATAATGTATAAAACAGGTAGATTATATAACAGACAAAAAGTCTCACTTTAACAATTGCATTCAACCTGTTGACCTTCAGAGTTCAGAAAGTGAACTGATCGGCTCTATGGATTGTTTTTATCAGATCACTTCACCCTCCAAGGATCTCATTAAACTCTCCACCAACATCTTCTAACAATTTCATCAAACTTGGGAGTCCTGTAGGCAGGAACATCAACCAGGGGATTTATTATTAATAATAATGAACTTTATTTGTAAAGCAAGATAATGGTACACTCCGTCAAGATAAAAGTGTAGCCACTTTACGTGTAGGGATACGTGAGAATTTGAGGGTCAACAGTCTGGGAAACCTCCTCCAGAAATCTGGTGGGGATAATGTCAAATTTACAGATGTGGGAGTTATGGGAAATTATTTCCTCAAATTCTAACTTTGAAATTTGCTTTAAGTGAGAGAAACTGGCAGATGGTTGAGAACAGGTTAGAGGAGATTCCATTTTCCATGGATGTTTCCATAAGCACACAGGGTAGAGGGTTACCTTATGGACCACCAGTTGATTGACTGAAATAAGACCCTGGTTGTGCGACTGTTATTCATTAACAAAGACCACACCAATGAACGTGTGGATTTAGAAAGGTTTATTGCACGTAATGAATAAATGAAAACCGATGTGATATACTGTAGGAGGGATGAATGGATCGGAAAGTGTTGAGGGATGGAGGAATGAGGGTCGAGGGATGAGGGTAGGGGTCAAGGGATGAAGGGATGAAGGGTAGAAGGGGAGAAGGGTTGGGGGATGAAGGGTTGAAGATTGCGGAATGAAAGGATATCGGAACTCAGTGTGAAGGATGAATGGATGGAAGAAAGGTGGGTGTATACTCGATAAACCGAGTTTGTTTACAGCCAAGGGACGGCGAGGTGAAGTCAGGTCACTGTGGCTTCGCCCGAGGCCACTGGAAGGAAGGATGTTCATCGGACGCCGAAGACCAAAGACAGGACCTGTTGACCCATGGTGTTGGAGTTGTCGGTGAATGAAGGCTGGGAGCGTCGGGGCACGTGGATTGTTGAGCGGAGCCGGGGTGGCTGACGAGAAGGAATGGTAGGCGAAGAAGAGGACTCTGAGATTTCAGGAGTTTGTCATTCGTCTTCAAACATGTTGCTGTCTGAAGGGTTGAGGATGAGCTTGTTCTCCGTTGTTGAGGTATTCGTTTTTTGTGTTTCTTGTCTGACGCCGATCATGTGGAAACTGAGTCCAGGAGGGAGTGAACGGATAAGGTGTGCTTAAGTACGTTTTGAGCAGAAATAATCGAGTGCAATGCGTGGTCTTTGTTCCTGAACCTAGTTATAAAACTTCATCTAGCAATCAAATTGAAAGAGTTTCTTGCTTCTTTACAGCACATTGAGAGGCCAGCATCAAACTTAGGATATCAAAGAGGAGTGTCTTTTGTTCCATTTTCGCTTAGGTCTCCTGCACTGCTTCTATAAATCTTTTGTTCTCATCACCACTCATTAAGCCCAGGGGAGTTATGTTTTGCTCGTTTCATCTTGGTAGGAGCAATGTTGTCAAGTAAAGCCTAACGTCAGAAACATTCAAATCAACCAATTCAATATTATCTAGAGTAATACCATGAGACAGCAGAAAGTCAGGAGTATGTCTCTTATAACGTGTTGGATTTTTAACTGTTCAAGATTAAAAGACTCAAAGAAATTAATAACATCCACAGTAAAACCAGACAGTGACCCTAGACGGCCTATAGATTACAAGACATAGTATGGGATGCTGGGCATTTAAAAGAAAACCCAGACTGAAATGAAGAAAAGGTATTAAGAGAGACGTGTAATTGTTTTTAAAAATGATCCCTATACCACCTCATGATAAAAAATGATTAAAAAAAAGACGTTAGCAAGAAGCAAGAAGTTAGCAAAGGACATCACAGTGAGTAGACTCACCTGAAATGCCGACTAACAGCTGAAACATGAGGGCTACTTGAAAGGGCATGAATGGGGCCAGAAAACACAAGTTTGCGTTTTTCACCATAGTTTCTCCTTCGTGCTTGGAAGAGGAGGGTGAAGTGAGGGAGTTCTGCAACTACACTGCTAGACGCAAATAAATCCTACACACTGGACCTTCAAATACTTTGCCTAATTTCTGTCTGTAAAATATCTTGAATATGAAGTCATGTTAAAGTTGTTGACATATCTGTTTTTACTTTTGTGTGCACAATAAAAATTGTTTACATTCTGCAACTTTTTTCATGCATTCTGATTTCTTCATGTATTGTATCATTTTGTGGGGCCAAAAAAAGTATTTAAAGCCTTCAGTATATACATGATGGCAAAATATATTTTTCAGATTCTGTGCACCACTTTTAATGACGGTGAAACCTGCAAATTGTTAAAAAATACCATGATATAAGTTATTGGGCAAACTTTCCAACCCTATTGAGGGGCTGCATTAAGGCCAGTAGAAGATAAATAAGATTTTTTTTGCATCAATTATGAAAAGCTACTCTAGTTGAGTCCAATAATAAAAGTATAGAGCTGGAAATGAGCTAAAGATGTCTCCTTTAATTTTCATCAGCCCTAAGTGAACAGACTGGTCCAGACAGCTAAGAAAATAGATATGATTAAAAAGACTACATTAAAAAGTGACATACGATTTATATGTGAGTAGTACAACTCTACAACCTTGATGTTTTTACTATACACAATATAAGTACGTACATAGGTATATGTATTGATAGTGAATAAAACACACCCTATACAATAATAATGCAGTTATATTACATATGTAATAGAAAAGAATACAATTAAGTAACATACAACATTTGAAATACAATAATGTCAATATAAGTAACTATATAGTGATAAAGTAATATAATGCAATTTAACACATATGCTGCAGTTAAGAGTGGAATGAAGTGTTCAATAAAAAAGTGGCAGTTTGAATTAGATTTTTAGTAATTCTTCTATATTAAATAAACTTACAATAATATTAGGCACAGAAGCAAATGCTTACAACAAATAACAAATAAGATATTTAGATTCATATTACAGATGAAATGACTGCATGTCAATTTTGACACATTTGTTCAGCTTTTCATAGAGAACAACCTCTTGAGGTGTTTAGAAATTTCTTTCATTTTAAGTCCGTATATGATCGGATTAAAGAGAGGATGATACAAAATCACTTGTAAAGTCATTATTAAACTCACAGTTTTTGGAAAATCAGATTCCACTCTTAGTGTAATGGTATTATATGCACTCAAAAAGGAAAAACTGATTAAAACCAACAGATGGGGTAAACACGTCTTTGCAGCTTTCCTCCTGACTTCTCTACAACTTCTGTAGGATATGATAAATATTCTGCTGTATGTAAAAAGTATGAAAACCACAGGGAAAAATGCAACATTAAACAAAATAATCGGGCCATATACAGATTCAGCTCTGGAACTCACACACTGAAGTTTGTAAATTGTGCTGTTGCAAATTATTCCTTTGAAAGTGAACTTACAGAGTTTTTTATTAGCATTCAGTATAACTGGAACTATAAACTGACTAGCAGGCACAAGCCAGGCTAAAACCAGGAAAATATAGACAGTTGTTTTTCTCATGATAGTCGGATATTGCAGAGGTTTACATATAGACACATACCTGTCATAGGACATTGCTGCCAATAAAAAGAACTCTGAACTACCTAAAGAGTAATAAAAAAAGGCTTGAAAGAGACAGGCTGAATATGATATCATCTGTTTTTCAGATAAAAAGTCAATCAAAAGCTTTGGGTAGATAGATGTGCTGAAAAGAACAGAGTTGAGTAGCAAAGCTGCAATGAAAATGTACATAGGCTCATGGAGGTTTTGGTGAATCCAGATAAGATACACAATAGTAGAATTACTGCAGATTATTAGGATATATGCTGTTAACATAATCACAAAATAAAGATATCTGTATTTATGAACTTCCACATAACCGTCAAGAGTTAAATAT